GTGAAGAAGTAGGTGCAATTGAAAACACTATCCACAAACCGATTTGAAAAAATTTCATCTGAGCTTTTCTGAATGACTCTAGAATAAAACAAGGCATTGAAAGTTTATGAAACCAGCATGGTGGCATAAATTTTATGAATAGCAACAAAAGAGTTGAAGCGTGTCCTAACAAAATCATTGAAATCAGAGTTATATTTAATTAAAAAAAATAAAAGGACCCCATGACAAAACTTCACCTAAAAAATTTCTGATTTTCAAGGAGGAAAAGGATGGAGAAAATATGGAGAGAAAATTTAACAAAAAACTCATAGATAGAGATGCAAAGTGTAAAAGTTATGTTGAAAGTAGAACAGAAAATATGGGAAATGTATACGATTTAAAAAGCTGACAAGGACGTAAGGAATTTGAAAAAGAAAAAGGAAAAAAAAAAACTAGTAAAAGTAAACCATGCTTTGCCACTTTCAAATTTCAACAAAAGACTAAATTTCAAACACGTTGTGACATAAATTTGGTGTTACTACAAAGAGGAATATTGGCACGCTAAGAAACAGAGCTGTGAAGAAGTAGGTGCAATTGAAAACACTATCCACAAACCGATTTGAAAAAATTTCATCTCAGCTTTTCTGAATGACTCTAGAATAAAACAAGGCATTGAAAGTTTATGAAACCAGCATGGTGGCATAAATTTTATGAATAGCAACAAAAGAGTTGAAGCGTGTCCTAACAAAATCATTGAAATCAGAGTTATATTTATTTAAAAAAAAATAAAAGGACCCCATGACAAAACTTCACCTAAAAAAATTCTTATTTTCAAGAAGGAAAAGGATGATGAAAATATGGAAAGAAAATTTAACCATGAACTCATAGATAGAGATGGAAAGCTTAAAAGCTGTGTTGAAACCACAAAGGAAAAGAGAGGAACGTGTAGGATTGAAAAAGCTGACAATGAAGTAAAGAATTTTTTTTTGGGGGTGGGGGACTGCAAAAGTACACCATGCTTTTTCACTTTCAACTTTCAATAAAGGACCAAAATTTCAAACTCATTTTGAAATAAATTGGTTGTTACCACAAAAAAAGAATATTGGCATGCACAAAAACTGAACTGTAAGAAAAGGAGTGCCAATTGAAAATACTACAGAAATAACGTTTTGGAACAGTTTCATCTGAGTTTTTTTTGAATGACTCTAGAATAAAACAAGGTATTGGATTGAAAGTTTATGAAATCAGAATATTGGCATAAATTTTATAGATAGGATCAGATAAGTTGAAGTGTGTTCTTATAAAATCATTGAAACCAATATTATATTTAAAAAATAAAAATAAAAGGACCTAACGACAAAGCTTCATTTCTAAAAATTTTTATTTTTAAGATGGAAATGGAGGAAGAAAATATGGAAAGCAAATTTAACCATGAACTGATAGATAGAAATGGAAGGTTTAAAAGCTGTGTTGAAAGTACAAAGAAAAAGAGGCGAATCGTAGAGGATTTAAAAAACTGAGAATGAAGTAAAGAATTTGAAAAAATATAATGTAAAAGTAAACCATGCTTTGTCACTTTTCAAATTTCAATAAAAAAAAATTTCAAAATCATTGTGACATAAATTTGGTGTTACCACAAAAATGAATATTCACATGCAAAAAAACTGAACAATAAGAAAAGGAGGTGCAACCGAAAACACTACAGACATACTGTTTTAAAACAGTTTCATCTGAGTTTATTTGATTAACTCTAGAATAAAACAAGCTATTAAAAGTATATGAAATCAGTAATGTGGCATAAATTTAAAAATACGAACAATAGAGTTGAAGTGTGTTCTTACAAAATCTTTGAAGCCATTAGTATATCAAAAATAAAAATAAAATGACCTAGTGACAAAGCTTCATATCTAAAATTTCTCAATTTCATGATGGAAATGGGGGAAGAAAACATGGAAAGAAAATTTAACCATGAACTTATAGATAGAGATCGAAAGCTTAAAAGATGTGTTCAAAATACAAAGGAAAAGCGGAGAATGTGTAGCATTTAGAAAGCTAACAACAAAGTAAAGAATTTTGAAAAAAAGGTAAAAGCAAACAATGCTTTGTCACTTTCACATTTAAATTATGGACTAAATTTTAAACTCATTGTGACATAAATTTGGTGTTAGAACAAAAAGGAATATTGGCTAGCTAAAAAATAAATTGTAAGAAAAAGAGGTACAATTGAGTTTGAAACAGTTTCATCTAAGATTTTTTTGATTGACTCTGGAATAAAAAAGGCCATTGAAAGATTATTAAATCAGTATCGTGGCATAAATTTTAATAATAGGAACAAAAGAGTTGAACAGTGTTCTTACAAAATCATTGAAATCATTGTGATATTTAATAAATCAAAATCAAAAGACCTGATAACAAAGCTTTATCTCTAAACTTTCTCCTTTTCAAGATGGAAATGGAGTAAGAAAATAAAAAGCATATTTAACCATGAACTTATAGATAGAAATGGAAAGGATAAAAGTTGTGTTGAAAGTACTTGGAAAAGAGGGGACATATATATGATTTAAAAAGTTGACAATGAAGTAGAGAATTTGGAATAAAAAAAAATGGAAGAAGTAAAAGTAAACCATGCTTTTTCACTTTCAAATTCCGATAAAAGACTAAATTTCAAACTCATTGTGACATAAAATTTGGTGTTATCACAACAAGAATATTGGCATGCAAAAAAACTGAATTGTAATAAAGGAGGTGCAATTGAAAAGACTCCAGACAAACCGATTTGAAACAGTTTCATCTTGATTTTTTTTTATTGATTCTAGAATAAAACAAGATATTGAAAGTTTATGAAATCAGTATCGTGGCATAAATTTTATAAATAGGAACAGAAGAGTTGAAGTGTGTCCTTACAAAATCCTTAAAATCATTAATATATTTAAAAAAAAAAGGACCTAAGGACAAAGCTTAATGATTTCTTATTTGAAAATGGAAATGGAGGAAGAAAATATGGAATGCAAATTTAACCATGAACTTATAAGTTATATATGGAGATAGAAAGCCTAAAAGCTGTGTTGAAAAGACAAAGGAAAAGAGGGGAAACATATAGGATTTAAAAGCTCACAATGAAGTAAAGAATTTAAAAAAAAAAACAAAATAAAAGTAAACCATGCTTTGTCACTTTCAAATTTCAATAAAGGATTAAATTTCAAACTCATTGTGACATAAATTTGGTGTTACCAAAAACAGGAATATTGGCAAGCGAAAAAACATAGGACTGTAAGAAAAGGAGTGCAATTGAGAACACTATAGACATACCATTTTGAAACAATTTCATCTAAGATTTTTTTTTTATTGACTCTGGAATAAGAAAAGCTATTGGAAGATTATTAAATCAGTATTGAGGCATAAATTTTATAAATAGGAACAAAAGAGTTGAAGAGTGTTCTTACAATATCATTGAAACCATTGTTATATTTAATAAATAAATAAAAAGGACCTAATGACAAAGCTGCACCTCTAAAAGTTGTTATTTTCAAGATGGAAATGGAGGAAGAAAATATAAAAAGCAAATTTAACGATGAACTTATAGGTAGAGATGGAAAGCATAAAAGTTATATTGAAAGTACAAAGGAAAATATGGGAAACGTATAGGATTTAAAAAGCTAACAATGAAGTAAAGAATTTGCCCAAAAAAAAAAAGTAAAAGTAAACTGCTTTGTCACTTTCAAAATTCAACAAAGGACTAAATTTTAAACACATTGTGACATAAATTTGGCGTTACCAGTTACTAAAAAGAGGAATATTGGCAAGCAAAAAAACAGAGATGTAAGAAAAGGAGGTGCAATTGAAAACACTACAGACAAACCATTTTGAAACAGTTTCATCTGAGTTTATTTGATTGACTCCAGAATAAAACAAGCTATTGAAAAATTATGAAATCACCATCATGGCATAAATTTTATAAATAGGAACAAAAGAGTTGAAATGTGTTGTTACAAAATCATTGAAATCATTGTTATATTTAACAAATAAAAATGAAAGATCCCAATCAAAAGCAACCAAAGTCACGGTCGTGACAAAGCTTCATCTCTAGAATTTCTCATTTACAAGATAGCGATGGAGAGAGAAAATATGGAAAACAAATTTAACAACGAATGTAAAGATAGAGATGGAAAGCATAAAAGCTGTGTTGAAAGGACAAAAGAAGATAGAGGAAACGTATAGGATTTAAAAAGCTGACAATGGAGTGAAGAATTTGGACAAAAAAGGTAAAAATAAACCATGTTTTGTCACTTTCAAATTTTGATAAAAAAAATAAATTTCAAACTCATTTTGAAATAAATTTGATATTACTACAAAAATGACTATTAGCATGCAAACAAATAGAAATGTTAGAAAAGGAGGTGCAACTGAGAACTCTACAAACATGCCATCTGGAACAGTTTCATCTGATATTTGTTTAAGTTCAAATGAATATGAATGGGGGGTGGGGAATGTGTAGGATTGAAAAAGCCGATGATGGAGTAAAGAATTTAAATAAAAAAAATTAGTAAAAGTAAAGCATGCTTTGCCACTTTCAAATTTCATAACGGACTAAATTTCAGAGTCAGTTTGACATATACTGGCAGAAATAAAGTAACAACAAAGACACAAAGCAACAACAAAGCTCACGTAAACCAAAAGAAAAGCAAGGATCGTTTGGAGGGTACTAGGATCTGGCAGAAAATAAAGTCAGCTCTCTTATTTTGAGAGGAGTTAGGACATAAAACCACACATCAATATAAGTTCCTATAGTTCACTCCCATCCAAGCACAACCCAGTACAAACAAAAAATATGCAAACGGTGTTGAGATAAGGCTATGACGGCTTGGTTTTGGTTTTCCAGATTTTCAAAGATGAAAAATCAAAATATCACCCAAGGAATTTCTGAGATGTTCAAAGATCAAAAAAATGTCACAGATTTTGGTTTTCAAAAACAGTCCAAAGCAAAAAAAAAAAAATCAAATTAGGTATACAAAGAAACCAACCTGAGGAAATCAGCAAAATTCTTGCTGTCTTCTTCGTCAACCCCAATCCTACGCGCCGTGTTCCTTTTTTTTTTATTGTGGGCGTCTGTGTTTCTATCCATGGGAGAGAAAAAGAAGAACCAAAATTCGTCAACGAATTTAAACTAATATTGAAACATCAATTAAAACAACTACTCTGAAGTATAGAAATGCCCATTTCAACTTAAAACATACAGTCGACTTTTTGTGGACCAAGAAAAGAACCCAATGAATGAATCTACAGATTGGAAAAGGGTACCTGAGAGGATCCAGATGAAAGAAACGAGACGAGACGCCATAAACTCCACAAATGGTGGACTGAGAGGACTAAAGCAAATACTTGCAGTGATCTTGATCGAACTTGCAGGTCTGGGGTTATCGAAGCGGCAATCGAAACCAGAGGATGACAATCGGATCGAGTATTAGTGTAAATATTGAATTGATGACGATGATGATTCTTGAATTCAAAAAGGAGATATATTTGAGAATTCGAAAGATAAGGTTTGACAAACGCATAGCAGTTTATGTTTACCTTCTCAAACTCACAAGGGATTAAAGGGCCAACGACATGCACAGGAGCAACCCCGGAGCTACTTTTCCGCCATTGAGAGCCGCCACAGCTTCCTCTTCTATTTCTTCGAACGTGTTGATGAAAATCCCATCAATTTCTAACATGTCCTCCCTGAATTTCCTGGAACGAGAAGCAGAGGAGGGATCAAAGATCTGGGAATTTGCAAATGAATCCCTGGAATCTCCTCAGCATCACCGATAAACGAAACAGGGGCTCCGCCGGCATGTTTATTAGCCGCATCAAGAAAAGACAGGTGTGAGAAGAACGAGAACATTCTGGCCGTAGCGATGAAGTAGATATAACTAGGAACAGCGATCCTCTCAGGGACAGAATCATAAGAGAAATCCCAGCACGAATGTAGTGGGTGTCCAGAGGCAAAGCCGCTCCGCGAAGGTCGGTGCTTTGAAACTACCGTTGGAATTAGGGTTTGCACATGCTCAAAGAATGGCGCTTTGGCTTATTTTTATCTAATGTAATTAAATAATATTTGTTTGCTTAATAATGGCGCTAACGGCTTCTTTTAAGCATAATTATTAATGATACTTTTTATAATGGTACTACTAAAATACATACAATATTTAAATTTTAAATTTTATTAAAAAAGTACATAAAAAGAAAACTTTCTGGGAAAACATATTTTTTATCCCAGAGTTTTTGTCAATTTAAATCAAGATCCCCTTAACTTTTTCTATTAATAAATCCTTTAAAATTAATAAAATTATGGTCAATTTTAATCCATATCTCTGAAAGAAAATATTATGGCACTGATATGACAATGATATCTAATAATACTAAGATTTTTGACCGAAGCTAACTATGATTTCATAAATTGATTCCATAATAATAAAAAAAAATATAACTTTAATCTAACTTTTCACTCGTGTTTTATTATAAATTCATACATTTTTTTTAATAATTTAAATTTTTTTAAATAAAGTGTAAAAATTTAAAATATTAAAAAATAAAAATTTAAAAATTTAAATTATTAAAAAAATGTAAGGACTTACAAGGAAATATAAACAAAATATAAAGATTTAAAATTATATTTTCCTAAAATAAAATTACAAACACCTTAATCAAAGTTGGTAATTAATTCCTCATAATGTAATAAATTAATATTTAAATTTTTATTAAAAAAATATATTTACATTTAACTTATTACCTTACTTTGAACAAGATCATCTCAAACAAAAAAATATGATCCCCTATCAAGGCAAAAGGTTGATCAAAACTCTAGGTCACAAAAATTATGTTTTCATTTTTACAATAGCTGGGATGTTTACGAAGCTAACCACAACACGTTTCGCTCTTTTCATTTATACTCATCAACGTGGCTGAAAAGTGTTGCCAAATAAATTAATTATTTTTCTATTTTTTCAGTTACCATATATTTTTAACACTTTACTTTTCCTATTCTTTCTCCATATTTAGATTATTTTTTTGGGGCAATATAAATGAATTTTTTTCGATTTTAGACAAAAACACCAAATTAATGGAAAAGAGGATCAAGTTAATTTACTTAAACAGCTTTGTTCAAGGGTTTTTTCTGGCTTTTTCATATTAAATTTTTAAAAATGAGTTCCAAATTCTTCTAATATCACTTATAAACTTTTTTTGAGTCAAATGGCAAATCAACCCCAGAACTATAAGTCCATGAATGTCTAAGACCCTAAATTTGTTTAATGTTTTCTTCAACTTTTTAAAATGATCCAATATGACTCATTTTTAACAAAAGTTCATCAGAAAATTATAGAAAATAACTTCAAAAATTGCAAAATCAAAAAAATACCAAAAAAAAAAGATCAAGAAAATTGGAGATCCTCTTACATAATATGTATTTTTTGTCAACTGAAGATTAAAATTAATATTTGTTAACCATTAAAGCCATAATGCACTATTTCCAAAAGTTAAAACAAAATATTTCACCAAAAAAATTTCAGAGTCTCCACCCTTCTAGGCTTATAGTTTGGAGGCAATTTGTCATTTAACCTGGTTTTTTTTTTCAAATATTAATTACAAACTTAGATGGATGTCAAATCCCTAAAGCTCAAAAAATGAAATAATAGATTTGTTTTCAATACTACAAATTAAATCCTGAAAACTCAATCTCAAATCACTTTATAGTCATGATGCAAATTTCGAAAAGTAGAAGTAAAATCTCTATAACTAAATGAATGAATTAGTGTTCCATGTTAAATTAACAAGCCATGCAACTTGATGAATGAACTAACAAGTTTTTTAACCATGTATCTCAAATTAAATTTTGGAAGATGAATTGCATATAACTTTGTAATTAGCTTTGATTTTTAGAAGATTGAAAAAACTTAATTTTGTTCATTAAATTGTAGAGATTTGATAAATATCTTTCAAAATTTAAAAATAGCTATAAAATGATTTGCAATTTAGTTTTCAAATCAAGAACTGTTTAAAAACAGTAAATAGTCTATGTAGTTATTATATATTAGAGTAATCTTGTTTAAGGTAGAATAGGATATTAAATATGGACGCTTCTTTCAACAAAAATTTAAACTTTAGCTCATTACATTGTAGGGACTAACCTCATCCATTAAACCAACCCATTGATATGAAACTGCATGTTCTAAAATAGTGTGCTTTTAGCCGTGGAAAGTACATTTTTGTTAACATAATTTATCATCATATTTGAGATCGGCTCTCAACATATCCATCAGGCATTAACAATTAGCATGGGTCAACAGTCATACTAGAAACATCTATTTTTGACGTCTTGCTAATATGGATGAGGTACTTCATTAGTAAACATAGACATGGATATATGATATGAATATAGATGCTTTTCACCCACAGGGGAACGTGTCCTGTGATTTAAGTTATGATCTTTGCATTTTCTGATTTATCTACAAAATTCCTTCATTCAAAAAAAAAAAAAAACACACACACACACACACACACACAAACACAGAAAATGTACAGCACAGACGATAATAAACTGAAGAAGGGTGAGAGTCCCGGTTTGAAATGGATGAAACCTGGGTTTAAGGTTTCTGAGCAGAAAACATGATAAAAGACTGCTGAATTTTGCGGGAGTAATTGGTGAGACCGCATGATGTGCAAAGGTCTTCTATCTCTTCCTCATTCAAATAGCTATAGCCCTGCAGAATTCTCTGCATCCAACAACACCTTCATGTCATCTTCCATGAAATTTAATAAAAAACCATTAAATTGTACAACCCATTCAAGTCACTCATCAAATGAAACTTGAGGTCCCATCTGGTTGTTGGAAAGAAATGAAATGGAATGGAATGTGTTGATAGGAAATAAAATAGACTAAAATAAAGTCGTAGAGTGATAGAGAGATGAGAGCAATGATGGATCAATGGGAACGGGGATTCATGACCTTATTCATATCAATCCTCATTCCCATTCCTCTATCACACCATGACTTTCATTTTTCTATTATCCTCACCTCTATGAATCTACAACCTTATTTTAGTACATTTTGTTCTCTATCAACTCATTCCATTTCTTTCTAACAACCGAATAATTCCTAAGTATACATTCGAGTTAAGACCCAAGAGAGTGCCTTGGGAGAGATTTATAGGTTTTTTTAATTGATTTTTAAAATATATATATATATATATATTAGTGGTTTCGACACCATATCCTAACATAAAACCTAGATATATTAAATTTACACATCTTTTTCACTTTGTACCTCTTCTTTGATCAAATTTTATCCAATCTAATTGATTCACACTCTCAATTCATATTTGACTCCAAAAGTTTGGATAGGAATGTAGGAGAAATGAAGGCTTTTTAGTTAATAGTCAACCTCCATGTTTCAAAGTTCCTTTACTTCATTTTTTTTGGGGGGAAGGTTTTGTAGGGGATATTAAATCATTTCCTAGTGTCATTTGATTATTTTTTTTATTATCCTTTCCCTCGCTTCTGCCTCCTACCTTCTGAACATCATGATTCATGATCAGGTCTCTCCAAATGATGACCAGATCCACACAGTCTAGTTCAGGGTAAAACGGCGACATTGTGGCCACTATGACAAAGCCATTAAAGATTAAACCATGATAGGAGTGTACCTCTCGGAGAGGCCGTATAATCATGGGAGTTGATGAAGTGTAACGCAGAAAAGTGCTTCCGACAAAAACTCCACCACTTCTCAGTATGCGGGCGATTTCAGCAATCTTAAACAAGTTTAAAATAGCAGTGTCACATATATTTGAATGGTGATGACACAGATTAACAGAAGATGATGCAGAGCACAATTATAGGATTAATTAACTACAATCATATTAAAAGAGGTTAAATTCATGAAGTGAGGAAAAGCGTGCCCCATGATTATTTCTGTTTCAGACATTAAATGAGAAGAAAGAGTGAGAATAGAGGATACAGGGTTTGAGGCGAGGAGCAGTGCGCAAAATAATAGTTCCAAGGTCATATGGAATAGGCAGTAGTGAACATGTCAAACTCACCATACAAAGAAAAACGATACTTACAGCATTGGAGGGAGATGACCAACAATGCAAGGCCGCACCAGCATGCACAGCATCAACAGAACCTGATGAGAAGGGAAGCCTAGAAACATCTGCCCTTACTAGCGCAACATTACTGCCAGCAATCAAATCAAACTAGATTCAGGACAGCTATATTTCCTTACACAATTTTGGACTAAAAAAGGTTAAAAAAGTAGAATTTGAGATTTAGATGTATCTAGTTTGGTTTGAGGCTGAGGACAAGGAAAACATACTTGGTTAAAAGAGTGTCATCTTGCTTAATGAAATTGTAACACTGGCGAAGCATATTTTCAGAAAAATCTAGAGCAATCACACCAGAATAAATTCCAGATTTGGCAAATTTTCGTGAAAATAAACCACTTCCGCAGCTGACATCAACAAGAAGACCACCTTCAGCAGGTTTGAAGTACTCTTGAGCCATTTTGAACTGCACCATAAAGGAATGGCAATAAGCTTAACGTGTTTTACATTATAATAAAACCATAGAGCCTCAAGTGAATCCTAGTTTGGCATAACTCTCGCAGAAACAACAATAACAACAAGCTTTATCTCACTAAATAAGATTGGCTACACCAATTGCATGATGCCTATTGTGCTTTATCAACAACTAAATAACTCCAAATACATGTAATTACTTTCAGGGACAGAGACATGAAAAATGACATTAAACAAGTATCTACATATTCTAAAACATTCTTTTTGTACAAGCCTCACAAATGTTCAAGTATCGACACATCATAGCTATATCATAGGATTGACACAGTACCTCTTCATCACGGCCAGGAAAACCACTTCGATTGAAACTTTGACGCCAGCCTCTTTCATACAAGAATGAAACAAGTGGACTCCTAGTGGATAGGTAGAAACAAAGGAAAAAAAATGAACTTTTCCATGTAATTGAGATATACAAGAACTCTTATTAGATGACAACTATTCATCACAATTCATATATGTTAAAACAAGAATTCGCATGGAAACAAAAATATTTGTCCCCTGAAATAAAAGTTAGAATGTTGGATTGGATCTACAGGAACTGGGTGTGTTTCATGTGACTGTCTGCCCGCAAAGTGAAAACTTGAAGTGAATATATTATGTATTGTGTAAACGATAGTCTTGTGCTTTGAAATTGGAATTAGAATACTAATCTATTTATACCTGAAAAGCTCAGTCCTGACTGGTTGAACTTCGGTGTACTCCCTCAACCCAGCAGTGACAGTTAGATCCAGATACATGTCTTTGCTGGAGTATGATTTATTGCACCTTTTACACTTAAAACCAGACCTGTAGATTGCTGATCTGAAGTTCCACATCCATTAAGTGAATACTATCAGATTGGATTTTCAGATACATGCAGAAATAACTACAGTACCACACATAAATTGGCATTAATTTCTCTTCAGCTTACAGGTTTAGTCCAGAAGGACCTTTTCTTATCAAAGGTTCATAACATACTGGGCAGGCAAAGATTTCAAATTCTTTTGCTCGATCCTGCCGCATATTTATATCCTGAAGGCAGCAAACTCAAATGCTAATATAAGTTGGAGTTAGAAGAGCATGTCCGGTAAGCATGAATCTACAGTTCTTACAAATGGTACAGCTATGTTATCAATTAGAAAAGAAATTAAAAAAGAAGAAGAAGAAGAAGAAGAAGAAGATCTGCCATACTTCTCAAGCAATATACATACTTCCACAAGAGACTTTTAAAAGGAAAAAAGGTCTTTTCTAAGGATGGCATACACTTCGGCGCTGAACAACTGATTACACGTCAACAAAGGAGAAGTAACATTTTCTAATGTCTGATTAACATCCTTCCCTGTACCCTATTTACTCAACAATCTCAAGTTAAGCCAAGGACCATAGTGAACAATGGCTGAAACATCGCAGAGTTCAGCAACAGGTAGGATTAGTCTACAGCTAGATGCACTCTAGTAATTTCAGATACACTTGTGTATTCTCCATTTCTCATGAAACCCATCAATATCCCATTTTCGATGAGACTCGATTATGTCAGCCAGCTTGGGGATTACATCAATTCAACTGCATTATAGGCTTGATTGATTATGGCGGTAAAACATCAGGAGTTCTATTGCCACACCATTTACTAAGCATGACGTTTCAACTCCCAAATGGTTGACTTGGAAATTCTCGTTCCATCATGAATACATCATAATTCGAATTCTACATACAAGAACCTATTTCCAGCAGGTTGAGTGCGGAAATTATCTGTAGCAGATGGCTCCAAGAGTGGAGCAAAGTTTTTCTTTTAAATCAATTATTAGTATTAGCTCAAAAAGAAGCAAAATTACGATTAAACAGATAACACTATTATAATCAAGAACCAATTGAAACCATCGCAATTCCCTAATTCTGTCATGTCAGCATACAAAGATAAGTGTCCATGTTTCACTTTCGATCCTCCAAGTTTCAGAAAGAATCCAAACTCAACAAAATTGTCAGAGTATGAAAGAAAAATTTGAAAATGGGGCACACACGGTATACCGACTCCATAAGAACAGCGGAACTTGCACGGACGGTTGAGGAGGAGGGGGAGCGACGATGGAGAAAATGGAGACAAGGAGGAAATTGGTAATTCAAATGAAGGGAGGGGCCCTTTCGGAGTTCGATTCTGTGGATAGGTTGAAGGAAAAGAGAAGCAGCCATGGCCATGAAAGTTCTTCTTCCTCCGCTTCAGTCTGCAGCTACGCGTCCTAGACTCCTTCACTCACCAAGCGAAAGGTTAAAATCACCGGACACGGGAAGAGACACGAATTGCATTTCCCCACCAAAACAATTGTGTGTTTAGTATCGTAATATAGTTTGTATTTTTTGCCATAAAAAGTTTTATCTTCAATAAAAAGTTATATTATTATATTATTAAAAAATTATTAAATTAGAAAATTAATTTTTCTGTTTTCTTATTTAATTATCATATTAGTGAAGTACTCCTTGCATCTGAACCAAATAACTAATTTTCTTAGTATGAATGAAAATTTTGTTTTGTTAATTAAGTAGAGTCGCACCTTACTTAATTACATTATGGGAAAAGTGCATTAATTACACCACTAACTTCCTCCAATTCTCTTATATTTTGGGACAAACAAGAGTCTAACAATTCTTTTTTAAGACTATATTTTCAAAACTTTGTGGCCATTCAACGTAAAAGTATGTTTCATGTTTCAAAAGACATGGTAATTGAAGTGAAGCATTTTTTTTTCTTAGCATTCAAATGTGGATGTGTATTTTCTTCTGCAAAACACACAGATTGATCTAACTTCAGCTGAAGTTGCAGAAATTGGTTGCAGCCTTATCCGTACTGCTTCTTTATCCTTCATGTATTTAAATTACTTTCGGGAGGTTTAGAAGTACAACACTTGACAAATAACATTTTTTTTTCTCAAGAAAAGTTTGGTGGGAATACATTATAAGTGACGAAAACTTCTAGATAGAACATATGGTTAGTGATGATATCGACCAATATAAAGATCGTATAAATTCTATCATCAGACCAGTTGGGTATTAAGCGAAGCAGATGTTCTAAAATTTAAAACTGCACTCAAGAAATTTTATTATATGAAACAACTTGCAGAAAGTTTTATTCTTCATCAGGAAAACAAAATCTCCGAATTGCTCATTTAGCGGAAAGGCCTACATAATCAGTGGGTCCATAAGGTTGAAAAAGTTCTGCAAAAAGATCTTTCTTTCTTCTGGGATTACATCCCATATCCTTGCAGAGCTGGTCATTATACCAGATATTACAATTGCTGATACATGACTTCCAATAATATCTCCCACCATATAGCTTCATACTGTCTTCCCACATTTTCACTTCCTTCTCCATTTCTCTCACACTAGGCAGTTCAATGCTTCCATCCAGAAAGCTCGCCAGCCACTGGCTCCTAATTTCAAAAGCAGACAGATTTGAGAGTCCCTCTGCAAATCCTATTATTGCTACTTGTGGGATTCTAGCATGAAGTATCTGTCTGTAATGGGCAACATATTCAAAATATTTGGTCAGTTTTGGATTGAATCTATCATTTGTACAACAAATGGCAGGATGGTTCTGGGAAAGATAAATGGCGCAAACCTGTACAAGGGAACTAAGGAGGTAGATGAGGGAGTGATGAAGTTTTGAAAGACTGGAGATTTGAAGATGTTTCTGAGCTTTTGGTCACCCCTGAACCCTGTAGCAAGAATCACTAGATCTGTCTCTGTGGGTTTTGAGTCTCCATCAATGATTAAACCTTCTTTGCAGAATTTGAAGCCCTCTGATCTCTTTATAATGATGCTTCCTTCTTCCACTCTGTCATAAAAATGTTGAGGAAGCATCCCAATCTGACATGAAGAGAATCCTTGAAGAAAGCTGTGATTAGGTACCAATCCTAACTTATCCAGAGGCAGCCTCCATCTTAGGTTTGATTCAACAAACTTTGAGATTGCCCATCTCTGAAAATGCACAGACGAATCATCAACATGAAAATCATTTCTCTGTTTGTGAGTAAATGCATAGGACTCTGAGATGTGTAGGATATACCAATGGGGAGAACAGAGCAGCCACAAGGCTAAGGAAGAAGGATTCACCAGGCTTGTGAACTAAAAGCTCAGAAAAGCGATTGGTACAAGAATGCAAGACTAATTCCCCAAATATTAAAATCTGGGAGAAACCAGTGTGGTGTCCTTTGAACCATTGTGCAAGGCTTCTTGATTCCTGTATAGAAAGCAATTTGACTTTTCAGAGAGGAAGAACTTTTATGTATGTAGGTGATTTGTAGGAAGGCAAGAAGAGAAGGAGTTACCATTTGCAGAAGCACACTCAGCTGCTATATCAAAGGCAGATTTCTGAGAGCCTAGTACTGCAATTCTCTTTGATTTGATCAATTGAGCAGCATCCTCATTGGCCATTGAAGAGAAGTCCATTGAATGCACGACCTGGCCTTTGAACACTTCTGGGCCTTGTCCTGGAGGAAACTCAGGGATGTTTGGCACGCCACTGTATTTTCCAATGCACAGAACCACAAACTCAACCTCACACACCTATGCAAAATATCCAACACTCATATTGGCATTACCGCTCATTTTCCAGATTCAACATAATGAGCAGAACAAGCATGCACGAAAATTGTTAGCACATACTACTAACAGAAATTAAACAAAATTTTAAAACTTATTAACTTTGTCTAAAAATTTAATCATTTTTCAACTTTACATTATTAAATATACATATTTTAATAACATACTTTTTCTTATCAACATTTAAATAGGGGCTAAAAGAAGAAAACTTATGATAAAAAGTCAATAACATGCTTTATAAATAGAGACTAAAAGAAATTCTTCTCTCTCTAGCTTCTAAATAGAACTGAAGAGAGTATATATTTGTGTGTAACAAAGTACCTACCTGAGTGGAAAGACTCTTGGTGTCTTGCACTTGAAGGTGCCATTTTCCCTTAGAGCCAAAGGGCTTGCCAGTTCCACCCCACAAATCCCAAGACTTGACAATTTCTTCAGTATCCTCTCCAACATAGTCAATGTCAATGACTTTGGAGTTGAATCTGATGTAAGATAGGATCCCAAACTTGTGAGCATAGGAATCAAGATACTGCAGAACCTGGAGGCTGCTTGGATAGTCTTGCTTGACAGAAGAAACCCATGGAAAATCAGAGAACCTGTAAGATTCCCTGCTGTTCTGAAGCTTGGTGGACTCAATCGTGTGCCTCCACAGTCCTCCTATGCTATCTTCAGCTTCAAAGACCATTGGATGAAATCCCTTTTCTGCTATGTATTTGCAGGCAAGAAGGCCACTGATTCCTGCTCCTATAATCCCCACTCTTCTCTCCATTCTTAGCTATCTATAATCCCGCTCCTATAATCCCTTCTCTAATTTTAACATGAAAAGAATCCCCCTCCTTTATAATTCTCGTGGGAGGATTACCGTTGTTGTACAGTATTAGTATAAAAAACAGGTCATAAAAAACAATGATGGCCCAGGTTATATAAAAACATTTTAACTCACAAGCCAACCGTATTAATTTTAAAAAAACAGGTCATGAAAATTTGTGTGGGCCCAGGTTACGTAAAAATCTCCCCTCGGTTGTATCCCTTGGCATGTGACCTATTTTTTAAATATTTTTTATAGTAATTTTCTTTATTATTATACACTCCCTCCATTCAAAAATGTAAGACACTTTTAATCAAATCTCACCCTTAATAAAGTAGTTACCTACTTTCAAAGTAACTCTATCTTGTCATATTTATCCTATTAAATACCCTACAATAAATATAAAATCACTATCAATAAGAACATTTTTTAAGAAAAAAGCAATGATTACACAGCAAAAGACTAAAAATATCTTATATTTTTTAATATCCAACTCTTCAAAAAATATCTTACATTTTAAAATTGAGAGAGTATTAAATAAAAATAAAAGATTATAAAGTTTTAATAATAAGGTGGTATGGGACCCACATTGAAAAACAAGTGGTATTGAGTAATTTTAAAAAAATATTCTCTCTGAATTACATTATAGGACATTTTTAGAAGTGTTACTTGATCTAAAATATACGGTATTGAGTAATTTTTATAATTGTATGGATAAGTGTGTTTTAAAAATTTAAATTTTCTACTCATTTTTAGAAATTGAGCTCATTAAAATCTTCTCTCCTCATTATTTAATTGTATTGCAATGAATGGGTATAAAATCTAGTTATATAATGTAAATTGATTACTCAAAACGGTCGATGCAATTCGTTTTGGAATTGTTTCCTGTTACTTTGGGTTATGGTTGTTTTTGTTTAGTATAAAGTAGAGCGCGGGAAGGAGGCTCAGAGAGGCCTGCCAGTTATATTCAAAATGTGTGTGCAGATTTAGTTTGCGTGTCTTAATTGGGTTTGATCTTTGGGAATTTCTGTTTATCATGAATATTTAATTCATTTTTACGTAGAAAGCTGAAGCTAACTTCTAACTTGGACTACTCTTTTTGAGAATAGAAAATGTTTCTTTAATCAGACAACGTAGTGTTGTAGAAGTTAGACCGTTGACTATATCCATCAAGAGGTTGATTTGAAGTTCACTAATTCAATCATATTATTATAAGTTATTATTAAATATAACACTATAAATTATTAACAATGTTGTACCTACGTGATCTAATCTAATTCAAATTAGTCAATGTGACTTTTGCCAAAAAAAAAGGTTATATATTCAAATAAAACAGGAATTTTTCCTCCATTTTTTTCCCTTCTACAATCTTTCTCCACGTCTCACCCACCAAATCCATTTTGGCCTTTTTATACGGTGCGAAAAATGAATGAAAATTTGACATGTGTAAAATTAGTACCCATCGATTTTTAAATATAAATAAATTTTAATTAGATAAAATGACTAATAAATTCCTCCAACAAATTATAAAATAGTATGATGGAATGAGATGATTATTCTGAAGTCTTTAAGACTTATATGTCATAATTTTCTTTTATAATATTATGTTTTTGACCCTCTTTAAAACAATAGAAAGTATAGTTGTTAAAATTTAAGTTAAAGTTGTTCGTAATAATAAAGATAAAGTTGTTGATATAAAAAATATAATTGTTATTATATAATTAAACTGAATTAATGATCAGCTGTGTTAGTAATACAATACATAAATTGAAGTTGTTAATCACTAAGTTAAAATTGTTAATACAAGAAATGTACTTATTATTATAGTAACTAAACCAATAACTACACTTCTTATATTAATTTTACTTTCAATATTAAAAACTTCAATTTAAATTTTAACAATTATGTTGTTTAATTTGTTTGAGAGTTAGAAAACATAATTTCATAAAAACATTTAAGTTAGATAAGTCTCTAAAGACTTCAAAAAAATTACTTCATTTTATGATACTTATTTGTTGTTTGTCAATTTCAATAGGTTTTATTTGTCATTTTTCTTTTTAATTAATTCACATAGCTTAAAAAAGTTTGTTAATCCTAATAAGTTTACATGAAATTTTAAAAATTGAACTAATTTTTTTTGGCACAAAAAAGAGCCCATTTTATTAAAATCAGAAAAAGATTACACACACTAATCAGAAAACAAAAACAAAGAAAAGCAATAAACCTAGGTACAACCTAGAGAAAAAACAATAAACCTAAGTACAACATAGAGAAAAAGCAACAACCCTAGAGTATTACCTGCCAAAGAAAGCATCAAGAAAGCGTACACAAACTATAAATATTAACCAATAATAGCTTTACCTTTTCTAATATCATGCTCCTTTATACTAACACATAGACCTTTATCAAAATTCACCTCCAAAATACGAGTCAAATGAGATGTTGCTTCAGAAAGCCACCCACTTAGGTACATCTTATGCAAACCAGAAGTTGCTAAGTAATCAGCAACATTATTACCTTGTCTTGCAACTAAGGAAAACCGAATTCCAAGCTTCATTTTCCACAAAGAGAGAAATTCGCCAATAAAAAAAAACACGCCAATCACAATTCAACACAGAATCTGAAATGAGAAAGTGAAACAACATCTCACAATCCATCTCAATAATAATATCAAAACCTGTAAACCTGTCACTCTCCTCTAAAGCAACTTTAACGACTAAGCATTCTGACATTAATGCAAAATCAGTAACTACAGACTTGCACAATCCAACCAAAAAAGTCTTAAGATGATTTCTGCAAACAATCCCAATACCAACCTTTAAAGACTTTGTTGAAAAAGCCCCATTAGTATTAATCTTTATTGAGCCAGTAGCTGGAGCCTACCAATGCAAGACTCTTTCACTCATTATCTTCTCACTTCTTCTCACACTTCTCTCCTCCAACCTTTTTGCACGCCAGAATTCTTCTACCAAGCCTTTTGCTTGACGTACAACCAATTCTACATCTACTTTACCGCATTGAAAACTCAATTGCATCTTTCCTTCCAAATACCCCAACACACAATAGCAATTAAGCTCTTACCTTGCTCATTAATCCCTTTGTTTTTCACAAAAACCTCATCGCCCCATTCTTCTATACTTCTCACCTTCCACTCATCAGGTCTCAACCCCAAAACACGGCTAACCCAGTCTCTAGGTCCAAGGACAAAGCAGAAGCAAATGCTCAAGTGACTCATTCTCCTTCTCACAAATAGGACAGAGAGAAGAATTAAAACAATGGCATTTAAAGAGGGCTTCTTTGGTTGAAACTACTCTATTCAACACTTTTTAGATAAAATAAATAACTTTTGGAGGGATTTGAAGGTTTCAAATACCACTTCATAGCTATTCTGAAATTTGATATGATCTCATAGGATCCTTACCAAAAGGTAACAGCTCCTCCTTCTCCTCTTCTAAAGTTACATAATACCCAAATTTAACACTATATACACCATTCTTCACAACAGGCCAAACTAGTTTATCTATGACATAGACTTGGGAATATATATTTTTTGAATCATCTCTTTTTCCTTATTAGAAAGTCTATCAGTAATAGCTGATAAATCCTACGTCCCATTATTAATCAATTCTACCACCTTCAATTTCTTATCATTATTATAGAGTTGCCTAACAGGAAGCTTTGCACCCTCCAACCCAAGAATCCACCTATCTATCCACACATGAATATCAAAATCATCACCAACCTTCCAAAAACCATCATTTAGCAACAAGTCCCTACCTTCCAAAATACTTGACCAACTCTATGATGCTCTATGACCTTTTTTTGCAGATAGAAAATCTCCTTTAGGAAAATATCTACCCTTAAGGACTTTGCACCATAAATCATCAGGCTTTTAAATTATCCTCCAAGCTGTCTTAACCAATAAGGCTTTATTAAAACATTGAAGGTTCTTGAATCTCATACCGCTAACTTTTTTTTTATTTTGTCATAAGACTCCATAATTTCTAATGAATCTTCTTACTCTCTTTTTCATTTTGTCCCCACCAAAAATCAGCCACCATAGTATCAATCTCCTTACAAACCTTTTAAGGAAAGGAAAAACAACATATAGGAAACACTGGAATGGCATTAGCCACAGCCTTGATCAAAATTTTTTTCCCAGCAAAGGTAAGCAATTTTCTCTTCCATCCCTGTAGCTTCAAGCCAACCTTACTTTTAACAAAATTCAAAGCCACACACTTTAATCTACCCTAAAGAACTGGTAGCCCCAAAAACTTCCTGGCTACTCAGTAGCTCTAATACCTAAAATTTCAGAAATTTCTATCAAACAAACAATTAGCTCTTTTTTAATATTCGCCAAGATGATTGATAGAAGAGAGCAAAAAAACCATCAAGACTTAGGGATTTATTAGCCCTACGTGCAAACACAGCCTGCTCAATTTCAGCCTTATCAACTCCTCGAACAGGCCAATCATTATCTATTCCATAAATTACTTCCTTCACATAACCCAACACCTCTTCCAAACCTTCAAGACTAGAAGCACCAAACAAATCAAAATAATATTGTTCAAAGGCCTCATTAATTTCCTCCTTCACTTCCAACCACTCACTCGAATCAGCCTTCAACCTTACAATATTATTCCTAGCCCTCTTTTAAAGAGTTGAATTATGGAAGAAACATGTGTTCCTATCACCAAACTTTAGCCATTGGACCTTAAATCTTTGCCACCAATAAAGTTATTCTCTATCCCAAACCCTTTCAACATGCATGATAATCAACTCAACTTCAACAACTTTCTCTTCAGTCAAAACTCCATTATTTAAAACAAAAAGCTTGCCGCGTAACTCATCAATGACTTTCCTATTATTCAGAAACTCCCTCCTACTCCATTCAACTAAAAATTTCTTGCCATGATTTAGTCTCCTCACCACTTCCCTCACTTTATCACCACCACATGAGCAGCAACTAATAAAATAAGTTTGTCCTTTGAAAATAAATTTTAACTTTATGAGCAGCAATTTAAAAAATGTATAATATATAATAGTAGATGCTTATTGAATTTTACAGTTTCGTTTATAATAAAAAAAATAACAAAACATGTGAAAGTTTTACCTGTGTTTGGACGATAATGTGACAAAAAAAAGTTGGGAGGCCGGATAGAATCACTAGGAAACACAAGGCCCGAAAAATTCAAAGATAAGGAAAGAAACTGTATTAACTGCCTCGCGACTACACTTGAGAAAGCCGCGATAATGGTGTTTTCCGTCAATCCTTGCCTTCCACTCTCTCCTTTACTCAAACATAGCATTTCGCCTGCAGTTTCCTGGGTTCCCTGCAAGCCTCCCGATTCCCTCCAAATCTCTCGGCTCGGCCAATATCATCGACCCCAATTTGCTGTCTCAGTTGCGTTTAATCCTCAAGGCAATTTCGACATCTCTTTGTTTGAAGAAGATGGTAACCGCTTAAATCTTGCTCTTTCACTTCTCTCTGCTCAATTGTTTATCTTTCAAATGGGATTTTCATGATACATTTATGTAATGCTCGAAGCTATTTCTTCAATTTGACTATCTGATCACTGATATGATAATGATGACAATAATTTTCCAACTATTAGGGAAAAATCTGGTCAAAAAAAGACTATTAGGGAAAACCAAGTTACTGTTTGACACTAGTCCTCTTTTCTTTTCATTAGAAATTGGCTTCTGAAATAGATATAGGTTTGATATGGCTACTAGGTGGAATCAGGAGAATGCAGGAACTTGGTGAAATCGTTTAGGACCTGAAAAGAAATTTCTGATCTTGAAAGTTAAGACTATATTCCTACCATCTCTATTGTAGGACACCTTCTAAAAAAATTCTTTAGTCCTTACTATAAGACACTTGACAAGGTATCGATTACATTTTTCCAATATTACTCCTATTTAAACTCATTAATATGAGAAAAGATATAATGTGAATTTACAAGAAAATCAAACAGAAGTAAAATTGGAAGTTCATTTTATTTTCATACAAAATTAAAAACTAAATACCTCTCCTTGATTCCTATGAGGTAGTTAAAGGTGCTTTATAATAGGAACTGTTAAGAGTAGATGCTTCCTATTAGAAATTGGCTACTAGATGGAATCAAGAGAATCCTATTGTGTACCGCATGATATGATTTGTTGAACTTCCATAAGTTTTGGGGATTTCAATATATACTAACCCTAAGTGTAATGACAAGAATCCTATTGGGCATTACATGCTTTAGATGATGATGAATGATCATTGACATGAGTACATGCGGTTTTCCTTCTTGCCATGAGAATATATACACACCTTTGAATGCTACAGAGAAGCTTGAGATTGTCAGTAAAGCACCAGCAGAAGATGCAGATAGTGTAGAAAACTTTTGCCTCAGTTATGTCTTTACACTATAATATCATGAAGTTGTAGTGCTTGATATATAGTTAATGGAATCTGTTAAGCTATACTTCAACAGATTTTGGTTGACAGATTCTCCTGAAGTTGCACCTCCTATGCCCCCAACTGAAGGCAGATTTGAAGTGGTTATTGACAATAAAGTTATTAGTAGTCTTGATTTGTCCACCTTTCAATCTGCCACTGGCATGAAATCTCCTTTGTCTGGTATGCTTCCGGACACATTGAAGAAACTGAATTGCTTTTTAGATAACCTATACAAATTAATGCTTCATGATGCTAATCAATTACAGTTAATCCAAAAGAATATCTTGAGCGAACAATTGGCTTTACCATCAATTATACTAGAGAAGATCCGCGTGATCCTCGGGAACTATCAGAGTTTCCTGATGTCAGACTCTGGTTTGTGAGGCTTGATGCTACTTATCCATGGCTTCCTGTCTTGTTGGATTGGAGAGCTGGAGAATTGGCCCGTTATGCTGCCATGTTGGTTCCTCATCAGGTGATTAAAAAACCTTAATGTATTTGCTGTTATAGATCATAAAGTTGAAATGGTAATTTGACACTGACTGAGCCTCAGTGGCTTAATTTTCCAGAGACTGTTCTGAGAGTATACTCTAGATTCTTTCATTCAAATATCACACACACACACACAAACACAGAGTCTTTTATGAATATAGAGGATTTATTATTTTGTGTTATATGTGATGTGTTGCAGATGAATATAAGAATGGGAGTAGTGTTCAATCCCGAGGCACTGGAACTGTTTGTGATGAAGAAGGTTTTCATTGTGTACTCGTGGTTGAAGCATCATAACATTCCAAAACCAGAATTGAAGACAAGTGACATGGCCAGGATGCTTGGATTTGGAATTGGGAATGAATTGTATGACTTGATTGAGAACTACCCACTTGATCTATCATAACAAGACACACAAGATCAATTTTGTTTTAGCTAAAGGGCAGCTAGAGATAATAACTCTCAGCCTTCTTTTTCTTTGCCCAGAACAAGTGATTTTCATGTATCCAACAATAAAACAGAATAGTCTCTTTATATTTGCAGAATATACTGTATCTTGTAAAATTGTAGAAAGTAATAATACAATGGAATTATCATTGATATATCAATAAAGATGGTAAGAAGTAGTGTTTTTTACAAACTGGCTATTTGGGTTCGTATTCCCAACCTTCCAGCCTACTATTTCAATGAGACTTTTCTGCGGAGGTTAGGGAACACCATCGGCAAGACGCTAAAGGTTGATCCCAACACTCTCTCTCAGGACCAGAACAAGATGGAAGGGGTCGATTCGCTCAGGTAAGTGTTGAGATTGATCTTCGCCAGAAGCTTCGAAGAGTACAATTTATCTTGAACTCTCTGCAAATTCATAAAATCTGCTATAGTTTGTTTGTGATATTGTATCTTAATTTAAGATTAGATACAACCATTCTGGATCCAACTAGCCAATCTGATTGAATTTGCATGCATGTCGTTCTGCTTGCCAGATTTGCCAGAACAGAGCACTACATATATTTTTGTTTTTGGAATTAATTTTACAAACGTGACCTTTTTCTGTCACAGCCCATGCCCTTGGGCTTTTCTTGTGTAACAAAGATCCACATCGTTTTATTTCAGATGTAAGTATAGTTGGCCTTTAAATATTTAAACTATAAGAATGATCTACTTTGCTTCATTAAACCTATTAATATCAATATATCTATAGAACTTTGAAGAAGTTTGCATTTTTCACAAGCAATGATTGGTGTAACTTAGTTTGGATTATATATACTCCCTTTAGTCTTAATTATAGAACAAAATTAACCACTTTTACAATTCTTAAGCAATGATACATAGTTAATATCTTTAAACTTGTAAAAAGTATTTAATTTTCTAATTTTGCCTTTCATTGAATGAAAGATAATGATCACAATAAAATGCGTCTAAAAATTACAAGTTGGTACAATTAAAGAGGGACAATATTAAAAAAAATTAACTACTGCATCTTTTTCTATATTTAAAACCAAATATAGCTTTAAGACTTTGCCCTCTAATTAAAACCAGAGAGAGTATATAAATACAAGCTTATTCTAGTTATTCATATAAACTCATTACTATTGCTGTTATTGTCAGTCAACATCATCATCGCAATCCACAAAGTTTTGTACATTAAAGCCAAGGCAAAATGAAATAAACAACATTTTTCAACAAATTAACAACCATTATCTAATTAAAACCCTTCATCTCAAGATCCTATCAGTGGGTAAAAATTTATTGCAACAACCACTTGGTAAAATTAATTTGCTAGCTAGCTTGTAAGACTTGTAAACTTCACTGCCAGAAAAGCTATATCCAAAAGTTTCTTCACTTTTTCACAACATCTACGAAACTTCTACATCAATCATCGCAGACAACACAATAATAATGATAATGATAATCATCATTATTGGGGAAACATGCACGTATATATAGCCATAGGTTGCCATTTGTGAAGATAAAGAAAAGCATTAATTCAAAGGACACTTTGTCCCAAGCTAAGCTACGTACACTACTCTTCTTCACATGCAAATCGAAAACATCATGTGCAGTTTATAGAAACCGACCGAAGACTTTATGCAAAAGACACTTACCTAATTAAAGGCAAAGTCTTGTCCTTCACATGATCATGAACAAACCATGCATGCACGGGCTTTTAATTTCTTTGGACCTTACTTGCATGCGTGTATTCAAGCTATGTAACTTCGTTTGGTTTCGTCCCCACGCGTAGACGAAAAAAAGCCTAATAAAAGAGCACAAGGCGGACATTAAAATCTGAATCATATTTTTTGTGGGGCTTCTTCCATATGGGAGCTAGGGCAGATCAGCCATTGTTCTTAACTTTAATTTCCATGTGATGTTCACACACACATATTTATACGGAGAGACAAGTCCATGTGACCCTGTAAAAGGTCACTACTCTTAGGTATGGGGTGAGGCTAAGCAAGATGGATATCCCTATATATGGACGGGCAACACACACACACACACACACACACACACACACACACACACACTATATCTCTCTCTCTCTCTCTCTCTCACACATAATTGATTGTGTGTGTGAAAAAAATATGATATCACGTACTTAATTTTTTTCCAATTGAGTAATGCTGTTAGTTATATGTGTGTTCCCCGAAAACACAGTATTATTTAGTTGTGATACAATAATTCTTTAATAGGAATATTATTTGATTAGCAACATACTCCTTTCAAATCACAATATAATTCATTGCTGAAAAATGTATGTTTCTCATAAAAAGTTGATTAAAATTTTTATTTTTTAAAAAAATCATGTCTTTTCAATTGTGTCATTGTGTGTATTACATTTTACTTATTTAAAATATTCTCATTTATTACTATAAAGCCAGGGTTTAATTAGAATATATATATATATATATATTATGTATAACATCTACTCAATATTTTATATTTTAGACTAAATAAAACTTCTAAAAAATCACTTATATTATGGTCTGGACAAAGTATAAGATAAGGATGTTCAATTAAAGGCGTCATTGAGTGGTCATTGAACCGAGGCTTTTGATGAATGATGTATTTGAAAAGAAAAAAAAAATTGATAAAACACGATAGTGTCATGTAATCAATATATGTAGCTGACTTTGATGGTGAGGTAGGACTCGATATTGATTATCAATATACAATATTATAATAACATTTCAACAGAATTGTTACTGCAATTTTATTCATTTATGATACAAAAATAAATAAATAAGTTACTTGAATAAATGTTAGTATGTAATAATTAAGATGAGGAGGTATTTAAATTTGAAAAAAAAACCATAATTTCATTAATAGTATGTGTTGATGCAAGCATGAAGATTGAAGGCTGGTTCCTGTTATTGGTTGACAAATATAATGAACGTACGCTTGAAGCATCTGTGGATGTAGGGTCTGACGTTGGAAAATTTAATCTTTGGATGGACCCTATATATTTTTTTAAATTTGTTTCTATTTATTAATTTAGTTTTCCGAATTTGTTAAAACAAATAGAGTCGTCTTCTACCCCACCAATGTCGTATAATTATTGTGTCACTGATGACATATTAGCATGGTCTGCTTCATATGCATTGACCCAAAAAAATGGTGTACGCACGGTTCATGAATTTGTGGATTAAACACTTCTCACTTTTTTTTTTGCATAAGAAAAAATATGACGTTAAAAAATATAGATAAGAAAAAGAATTGCTGATAGTAAATTTTGCATGGTAGTGGTAAGGTAATCAACAATATCAATGTATGATATAAAATAAATAATAACATAAAATGAATTATATAAACCAGATGAAAATTAACCAAGTCAGTGTCATAATAACCAAGAAACAAATATTTCTTAGTACGGGGAGGGACATAATGAATAATAATATTGAAATAATCATTATTAATTAAAATTTAATTATTTTTCCAAAATAAATTATATTTTAGGGCACTAAAATCACCTTAAAAAATATCTTATTCCCTCTAAACTACAATATAAGTCATTGTTAATTATTTAAATTTTTTAAAAAAATTAGTTAAAATATTGATTTTCTAAAAATTTACACATCTCTTTCCAATTATAACATTGAATGGAATAAATATAAATTTTGATTTATTCAAAATACCATCACTAATTACTTGAATAGAATATAATAAAGTAAGGGCATAATTAAATATATATGTGTGTGTACAACCTATCTAATGTCTTATATTTTAAATCAAGCAGGGTTTCTAGAAAACACCTTATGTTATGGTTCCAATGGAATATACTATAAAATGGGACTGAGGAAGTAAGCTAGACTATTTATCTTATTATAACACGAGGAAACTAGCTCCGTTGAGAAAGAAAGTTGAGAGAACAATATCATAATACAGTAATATTCTGTATCCTACTACTTTATAAAGGATCATTATAATAATCATCAATAATTAGAAGTTGATCCGTACACACTTGTTTCTAAAACTCTGGAATCTAAACAAATTAATTAAACCAAGCTGGAGTGTTTGGTTGAAAAGTAACAGATAATCACAAAACAAGAACCTCGGTTTTCTATTTTGAAGAAAAAGAAACAAATGGTTCACCTTTCCAAGTGTTCTATTTACCTTCGGGTCTCCAAAATTCTCCTTCTCAAAAACATATATACGTCCCCGTGTCGGACTCCTGTTCCTTAAAGCACATCTTTTCCTTCATTTTGTATTCTTTATATAATATAAATATAATCATACAAAGATAATACGTGATTAACATCGTTTTATGGATTTAACAATATATACAGTCGATTACATTATATTAAGAGCTCAAAATGATTGAGGGGACTTTAATTTGTCGAAAGGACGAATGCACATATTATTAAAATATTCAAGGGTTGATATGGATAAATAATTTGTTCATCTCGATCCTGTTTAGTTTTAAATGTTTTAATTAATTCATTGACCAGCTGGGCCGTGAAGCTTTTGTTTGTGTGTTATTGTATATCTTTTCTTTGGTACATCAGCTTGTACATACAATAATATCCGGTTGATGAGTTTTACGTACAAAGATCATGATTAATTTGAGTCCTAAATTAATTATCATGGATTATGGTTAATTAATAAAGGGAAGTATTATGGATTAAGTGTGTTGAGTGCTTGTTACGAGTATTAAAATCAAACGACAGTGTCCCCATAAACCATATTCATAAAAGCGACATGCGTTTTGATAATGGCGACATGTGTTCTGGACTTCCACAAGCGCTAACCCACTCTTTCAAAACTTCGATTATCTATAATATTCTTATATTTAAATTTAATGAAAATAAAAATAAGGATCCTTTATTTTTGAAATAAGAAATACTAATTTGATCGGTTAGCTTCATTAATCAAATGCAATGTCACTTTTTTTTACTTGCCATGTGATACATTAATTATTAGTTTGCGCGGCTAACTTTTGGCTTAGAATTGGTACAATTTTTTTCGCTTTTGCTTTGATATTTTATATCTTTGATCCAAATTAATTCAATCGGCGAATTGGGAGTATCTCTATGGAGCATGATTCTCATCATCGAGAATTTAATTTTTACTCTATACTCAATACTTAAATTTGAGACATTTAGTTAATTAAGTTTGATATGACCAACTTCTTAACTAATT